CTATGTTTTTCTTTCTTTTTTTTTTCTTTTTTTACTTTAAATCCACATGAATGCACCTGTATCTACATATCTATACTCACGTACAATTTCGGTGCCAATGGCTGTACCCATTTCCTTTTATACTTAATTCTAAACGCGTTCACAAGCAACGTATAGAGAGACGTCTATATCAAATGAAAACAGCCCATATCTACAAGCAAACTGTTTCTGTTGCTTTCTTTCCTTCCGGAAATGACGTATTCGCCTTGTTAAGGCAAGGAAACATCGCACACCAGAACAAAGAATCAAGCTGTGTTGCTTGCTGCTGTTATTATTTTTATCATTATCATTATTTTTAATATTAATACCAACGTTCGTATATTTTATTAGCGAAAAGTTTCATTCATGAAACAGGGGCGGGCGGTGATGGAAGTGTTGTCGGCAATCTCCGGCTGTCAGCGAAGCTCGTGTCTCGTCTGCTTTGATCAAATTGTTCTGTTTTGTCTTTGCTTACTGTTTGTTGTATTCCGGGTTGGGCCTTTGTTCTACGTAAAACATTTCACTTCCTGTTCTCCTACTCGTCTAACTGTCTTTTCTTTTGTCAGATTCTCTTCTGTTTCGTCGAATTCATCTCATTTCCACATCCCTCCTCTCTTTCTGCTACAGCTGCTATTAATACAACTGATAATCCTATGATGACTATAATAATAGTGTAATTTTTATCACGGTTATTTTGAGCGTACTGTGTAATTTATCGGAGCGTAAGTTGGAATCGTCCAGACGAGTTCAGATTCTGGGCTCGTCTGTTCTGTTCAAGATCAAAACTAAGAGGGCAGCCCTGGCAGGAGTTGTTTGTCGTGTGCTAGATTGTATGACAGACGTTGATTTGAATTCAGAATATTGCCTTTCAGGCATGTCGTCAACCAAGTCAATATGGCTCAGATTAGCCATAAAAGTTTGTGATATGAGGAAACGAGATGGATCTACACATTTCCTTTGAGTAATTGAATATTCGAACTCACGCTTCCGATTACGCATTCATAATGGTTACTCACTACACTACTGCGCATCAAATGCATTTATTTGCGCACAGAGAACTTTGGGTTCTATAGCGTGGTAGACTAGGCTATTTATCATTGACCGACAATTAGGCTATGAGAATGACAATACGAAATTCACGTTAGTGAATAATGCAACAGAAAACGAAGACAGTACCCGTTCAAAGAATATAGAACATTTTGCAGATAATAAAGAAAATGAGCTCCGCCAGGAGCCATATTCATGTACTTACTAACGTAATATATATATATATATATATATATATATATATATATATATATATATATATATATATATATATATATAAAGAAATAATCATAGATAGAATCAATCAGCAATATTAATGCGATTAATGGCGAAATCACTTCGCTAGTAGAAACATAGTGTATGCATTAAAATACTGTTAATCCATTGAATGATGTGATCCTCATTTATAGAACTGTTGTCACATGTTTCTAGTGTATATATTTTTAAGTTAAGCAAGTACCTCCGAAGACCATGTCTCCGTCATCTGGCTGTAATTTTTTTTTCCTTTAAAGTTAAAACTTGAAGACGAAATAATTATTTGTAGATCGAAAGATGTTTTTTTTTAAGAATGTGCTATTTATTGACGGTTGTCCAATCTCGGAACATGCAAGTCGCAATGCTAAAGTTCAAAATTTCAAGTGAGAATTTTTATATGAATTTTGTAATATGGTAAATCCACGATTTTTTTTTTTTACAAGTGTTTTCAGTTAACATGACATGAACTAAGTATATAGTTCAATTAATATAGTGATATATCTTAGTAGGTTTTTTCTCAAGAATTTCGTACTGCGGATCAATTGTTTTTTTATAAACATATTAAATTAAGTAGCATATATTTCATATATAAAGAAAAAATCATACATAGAATCAATCATCAATATTACAGACTGACAATGAAGACATGAATCTTCGAAAGTACTTGCTTAACTTAAAAAAATATGCACTAGAAACGTCTGACAACAGTTTTATAGGCGAGGATCTTATCATTCAATGTATTAACAGTATGTTAATGCATACATTATGTTTCTACTAGCGAAGTGATTTCGCCATTAATCGCATTAATATTGCTGATTGATTCTCTGTATGATTATTTTTATATATAAAATATATGCTAGCTAATTTAAGCTATGGGTAAATAGCAGGACAGATTGGGTTCTATAGCCTTGGATGGCAACTGGTCTAGGAGAAAGACAACTCTGAATTCAAAACCTGCGGAGCGTCGTTTGGGGACCTTGTGCCACGTAGTGTACCAGGTCTCTGTATTCGGCACTTCAAAATGTGTGGATGGTCCTGCACGAAACCTTCACCACTATAATAAAATCTCATGTGCTGTTGTCAGGCTGACGGTTGCCAAAGAACTGATCTGCTTGACGTACGTCGTATTCGACGGAAGAGTCGAACGAGCGAGCGATATATATATATATATATATATATATATATATATATATATATATATATATATATATATATATATATATATATATATATATATATCTGCGGGTAAAAGTGCCCAGTATCAGATACAGAACGTATTCAAATGGAAAGAATAATAGTTGACACAGAAGATTTCGTACAAGCATAAAACACGCTGTCAAGGTTTGTTTTTGGCTTGTCAGTGTCCACTTGTATTTTTTTATATTTATGCTTTTATGTTTTACGGTACTTTTTCTTCGATCTAGTTTTCTTAGATTTAGGTTGATTGATTTTAGTTTTTTGACCATGGTTTTCACGCATTTTGTTAGCTCTATCACTTATATTGCACACACACACACACACACACACACATATATATATATATATATATATATATATATATATATATATATATATATACGCAAATATATGGATATAGATCCGACAGTAGGAAGAAAAATATACGTAAAACAAACAAAAATCCTAATATGCAATTATGCTGTTTTAATGTTGATATAATGTTCTGAAGATGGTCGACTAGACCGAAACGTCGGACTTTGACATTATATTAACTTTAAAACAGCATAATTGCATATTAGGATTTTTGTTTGTTTTTTACGTATATTTTTTTTCATATATATATATATATATATATATATATATATATATATATATATATATATATATCGCAAAAGATTGCTGTTGTTAATAAAACAGTGCTCACTTTAACATGATATAGGTATTAAATATATATATTAATGAATATCATTCACCGATAGCAGGACGCAAAAATCCATGCCTGACGAAATCTTCAGGTGCTGAGTATATACTGATCGTTGCCCAATTTAAATTTTAGTACAAACATCTGTTTCGCGCAGTCCATATATCATATGAAATATACAGTCATATTTTTTTTTGTTTTAAAAGTATATTTTGCGTTTAAAATAGCAGGGTTTTTATTTTATATATATATAAAATAAAGATAATATCATTCTTTTTAAATTAGTAATAATAATTCAGTTGTAAACATAAATGAGAAAATATTTGTTTCTTCTTGTTAAAAAATTATAATAAATGTTTTATATCTGTCTATATTTCCGAGATGAGGCATTATGTACACTATTTACATTATTCGGACTATCATCCTCATCTTTATTGCCATATTTATCGCATCGTTTCGGCCGTTGTAAGCTCCGGCCTTCTTCAAGGACACGTGGCACAGTGGATAAAGGTGTTAGTTTGATCCGGTGAGAGGAACCAAAGAGCGTGAGTTCAATTCCTGATTAATGCCCCGGAGACCTTGGAGAGGGGAATTAACAGGAGATAACAGATAACTGACATCCATTAGACTTAGCACATTGACCTAGAACAGTCTACACCAGCGAAATACAGGGTTTAGTTCTACATTCCAACTACTTGAAGAAGGCCGGAGCGTACAACGTCCGAAACGTTGTGATACAAAGATGAGGGTGGTAGTCCTAACAAAAAATTTGTAATTAAATAAATGATGGAAGAAATAAATAAATAAAAAAGTAGAATGATGGAAGATTGAATGAAAAGTTGAATGTTGCAAGAAAGAAAAGAAAGAAAAGAAAGAAAGAAAAGAAAAAAGAAATGTAGAAATGATTGAAAGAAAAAGAAAAAAAAGAAATAAATAAAGAAAAAGAAATGGAAAATTAAAAGAAAGAAAGAAAAAGAAATGAAAAAAAGTAGAATGATGGAAGATTGAAAAAAGAAAGAAAGAAAGGAAAAAATGGGAAGGAAAAAAAATAAATAAAGAAATGTAGAATATGGAAATTGATGGAAAATAAATAAAAAATGTAGAATAAAAGAAAGAAAAGAAAAGAAAAGAAATAAAAAAAAAATGTAGAATGATGGAAGATTGAAAGAAAGAAAGAAAGAAAGAAATAAAGAAAAGAAATGGAAAATTAAAAGAAGAAAGAAATAAAGAAAGAAAGAAAGAAAAGAAAAGAATGATGAAAGAAAGAAAAAGAAAGAAAAGAAAGAAAGAAAGAAAAAAGAAAGAAAGAAAAATGTAGAATGATGGAAGAAACAAATTAAATGGAAGATTAAAAAGAAAAAAGAAAGAAAAAAAGAAAGAAATGTAGAATGATGGAAGAAAGAAAGAAAGAAAAAGAAAGAAATGTAGAATGATGGAAAATTAAAAGAAAGAAAGAAAGAAAGAAAGAAAGAAAGAAGGAAATAAATAAAAGAAAAGGAAATGGAAATAAAGAAAAAAAAAGAATGATGGAAAATTGAAAAAGAAAGAAAGAAAAAAGAAAAGAATGGAAGATTAAAAAAAGAAAGAAGGAAAAAAAAAAGGAAATAAATAAAGAAAAGAATGATGGAAAATTGAGAAAAGAAAAAGAAAGAAAAAAAGTAGAATGATGGAAGAAAAGAAAAAAAAAGAAAGAAAAAGAAAGAAAAAGAATGATGGAAGATTAAAAGAAAGAAAAGAAAAAAAAGAAACAAACAAAGAAAGAATGATGAAGAAAAAGAATTAAAAAAGAAAAAGAAAGAAATTAAAAAGAAAAAAAAAGAAATAAAGAAAGAAATGTAGAATGATGGAAGAAAGAAAGAAAGAAAGAAAGAAAGAAAGAAATGTAGAATGATGGAAAATTAAAAGAAAGAAAGAAAGAAGGAAATAAATAAAGAAAAGTAGAATGATGGAAGATTGAAAGAAAGAAAGAAAGAAAGAAAGAAAAAAAGAAAGAAAGAAAGAAAGAAAAGTAGAATGATGGAAGATTGAAAGAAAGAAAGAAAGAAAGAAATGTAGAATGATGGAAGATTAAAAGAAAGAAAGAAGGAAAGAAAGAAGGAAATAAATAAAGAAATGTAGAATGATGGACGATTGAAAGAAAGAAATAAAGAAAGAAAAGTAGAATGATGGACGATTGAAAGAAAGAAAGAAAAGAAAGAAAGATTAAAAAAAGAAAAGAAGGAAAAAAAAGAAAGAAATGTAGAATGATGGAAGATTGAAAAGAACGAAAGAAAAGATTGAAAGAAAGAAAAAAAGAAAGAAAGAAAGAAAGAAAAGTAGAATGATGGACGATTGAAAGAAAGAAAGAAAGAAAGAAATAAAGAACAGTAGAATGATGGAAGATTGAAAGAAAGAAAGAAAGAAAGAAAGAAAGAAAGAAAGAAAGAAAGAAATAAAGAAAGAAAAGTAGAATGATGGAAGATTGAAAGAAAGAAATAAAGATGAAATAAAAGAAAGAAAAGTAGAATAATGAAAGACTGAAAAGAAGGATATCGAAAGTATATGGAAAAATTATTGTAACATTAAGAAAGAAGGAAAAAACAAAAAGAAAAAAGAAAGAAAGAGAATAAAAATGAAGTAAAGAAATCATGAATTTAACCACAAACAAAATAACATAAATATATATTAAAATAGTTTATTAACACGTTACTATTCAATTTTCATTCGTTCATCCTTGTTGATTTTCCTTGTGTTCTTAGTTCATAAAAATTAAAGATGGTGGACGCGGGAGTAATGGATATTTCATTCCAGTCAAATCCATTACGTTTACTTACGTGCTGATATCCTTAGGAAATGTATGAATTCTCTGGGTAATGGGTAAAGAGCTGGACAGACCGAATTCTATAGCCTTGGATGACAACTTGTCTAACACAGAAAGAAATGGCAACCTACCGCGGGAAAATATACTGCATCGTCAATCAAGTATCGAAATATATATATATATATATATATATATATATATATATATATATATGATCACCTAAGCATGTATCACAAAGGGCATATAAGTGAAGTATCACATACCTCAGGTCTAAGTAATTTATGTGCTAACTGCAACATTCAAAATTAGCAAAGATCGAAACAGCCAAATGTAGTTTGTTGTCAGTTGGAAGACATATATATCAAATTCTTACATCCATGTCACTGTATTTCACATTTGCCAAATTAGAATTTAATTATGGAATCTCAAGAGAGAAAGCGAATGGTGAGCAAACAACAGAAAAAATAAATTTAATGAATAAGCAAGTGGAGATGCCTGAAATGTACAGTAAGTGCTGAAATGCGATAAACAATCTGTATTATTAATTATAGTCATATATTAAGCGAACGATTACAGACACATATTAATCTAAAATTTATAGACATATATTCATCGAAAAATTATAAACCTTTAATTACCGCAAAATTATAAGCTTATATTAAGCGATAAATTTATAAACATATATTAATCGAATAAGTAATACATAAAAAAGATTGATAAGAGAAATGGGCGAAATACATGCGAGAAAATTTGGAAGAAAGAAAGCTCGCAAGAAAGAAACCAATCATGAAAGAAAAGAAGAGCAAAAAGAAATAACGAAAGAAAGTGAAAAAAAAGAAATAAATAAATAAAGAAAGAAAGAAAGAAAGAACGGAGGAATAACATAGAAAATGAGGAATAAAAAAGAAAACAAGCAAGTAAAATAGAAAGAAAGACACTAACAAAGAAATGATTAAATAACGAGAGAAAGAAAGAAAGAAAGACAGGTTAAGAAAAAGAAAAAGAAACATAGAAAGTGAACTAATTATATGGCAATGTTTAAGTACCGGCATGGCTCCCGGCTTCAATATAAAACGAAAAAGGAAAGTGAAATTAGACAAAGGAAAACGTTTGTTTGTTTCTGCTTTGAATTGAAGAGAAAATTGAAAACAGATTAATTAGTTCGAGGCAAAATAATTAAAATACTGGTTGAGGATGATAAGTTTCTAGAATATTCAAAACAAATGAAAGTAAAGAAAAGTAGAGGGGGAAGAGGGAAGAGGGAAGAGGCGGTTTTAAAGAAGAAAATAAAAGTTAAAAGAGAGAAAGGATAAAAAGTTAAGTTAGGAAAGAAAAATGATTGGGAAAAAATGAGAAAGAGTCTACAGACATAAAGACAGAAAAAAAAGAAGTGAATAATTTGTAACAATACCAAAAAGACAGACAGAAAGAAGAAAAAATCGAAAGAAAGAAAGAAAAAAGAAAAAAGAAAGAAAGACATGAAAACAAATATAAGGGAGCCGTAATGAGGAAAAGTAGAAAATGTGTATGTATAGATAAAGCTAAATTATTACAAAATATATCAAATAGATAGATAGATAGATAGATAGATAGATACTGAACAGTCAGATAGATAGATACATAGAAAGACAACAGGCCAGACAGACAGACAGATAGATAGATAGACAGACAGATAGATAGAAAGACAACCAGCCAGCCAGCCAGATAGATAGATAGATAGATAGATAGATAGATAGATAGATAGATATTGAACAATCATATAGATAGGTACATAGATAGATATATGCTGAACAACCTTTAATGGATAGAAGGTAAACAATTTTAGATAGATAGATAGATAGATAGATAGATAGATAGATAGATAGATAGATGGATAGAAGGTAAACAATTTTAGATAGATAGATAGATAGATAGATACTGAGCATTCAGATAAATAGATAGATACATAGATACTGAATATTCAGATAGATAGATAGATAGATAGATAGATAACAAATATAGATATAGACAACTGGAGATAGAGAATGAAACAGTTCAAATTGCTGAAGAAAGAAAGAAAGAAAGAAAGAAAGAAAGAAAGAAAGAAAGAAAGAACAAACAAAGTACTAGTGTTCTGAAGTCAACGAAAAAGTAATGATTGGTAAGTTGCTGTAAAAGATGCAGGCCTAAATAAATAATGAGAAATAAGAATAACATTGGAAATTAAAATTGAAATGAACAGAAATAGAAAAAAAAGGAAGGAAGGAAGAAAGGAGTAATGGAAAAAGAAAGATAAAGAATAAACGATATATTCATCAAGAAAGTAAGAAACAAAAAAAGACTCAAAGAAAAAAAATAGTAAATAATGAAGTGATAATTAAAAGCAAATATAAAATGTCAGTGGTAGAGCGGAAAAAAACGAAAAAAAAAAGGAAATACAGAAAAAAAAAATCAGATAAATTAAAGAGAGACAGAAAAAGAAATAGAAAAAAAAAGAAAATATATATATATATATATATATATATATATATATATATATATATATATATATAATATATCTATAAATGGCTATTTTGTAGTGATTTTATAACATATTTATTATAAATTTTTTATAAAAATAATTACACACACACACACATATATATATATATATATATATATATATATATATATATATACCTAATTTCTCATTACATTTTCTTCTTATGTGTGTGATAGTCTGTGTATATATATATATATATATATATATATATATATATATATATAGAGAGAGAGAGAGAGAGAGTTAGAGGGCGAGGGAAAAACTAGGCATTTATATATATATATATGCCTAGTTTCTTTATTTCATTCTCATTCTTTTCTGACTGATTTTATCTGTTCTTCTTTATATTACACACACACACACACACACACATATATATATATATTTCGCTTGAAGATTAAACGGGACTAAACTCTTCAATTCAACTTAATCTTAATAATTATTTGGATGGTTTCGGCTCTCGTTTTTTGAAACATGAGAACTCTTATATAGCGAAAGAATCATTTTAAACAAAAAATATGATATATATATATATATATATATATATATATATATATATATATATATATATATATATGAATGATGATAATATAAAGACAAAAAAGGAAGATGCACCAGAAATTAGAAATGAGAAAAAAAATACTGATAAGTAACAAACGGTAAAAAAACTGGTAAAGAAAACAATTACAGGATGAGAAAATATCAACAAGATGAACTAAGTTAATATTCCCTGAAACAAACGGGAAGAAAAACGAGTTTTATCTCGAAATCTATGAAGACAATGAAGCTACTCTGTGGCAGAGAGATAATTTCATGTTGAGTGGAAATGCGTTGAGAGATGCGAACCCAAACTCTTGATGGGCGGGTGAATGGAAGGATACGAGAGACGTCTTGTGTTTGACCCGCTGGAATCGACCTCACTCCATTTGAAATAAATGAAGCCGACAAGGAGATATGAAGATATCATTTCTGCAAGTTACCAACATACTTTAAGCAAATGCAGGAGAATAACAGAAACCATAATAGCGTAGGTATCTACTTTTTGGAAACTTTCACCATTAACTGCTCCATCACTGGTTTTACTGGCATCAGAGAAATATATATATATATATATATATATATATATATATATATATATATATATATATATATATATAATTTAATACATATATATATATATATATATATATATATATATATATATATGTTATAATTTGCAAAGTTAAAAATATGGTTCCATCGCTACACAAGACTTACCATGTTTGAAAAAAAAAGTAAAACTTCGATTTTAATTATAGAATTAAATTAAAATCCCTAGTACTGTTTCATTTTCAAGCGAATTTTGGAACGAAAAATTCCAAATTAGCTTTCTTTTTAGTTTCTAGTATTTGTTTTTGAAACATGTTAATTCCTGTGTAGCCATAGAACGATATTTTTCAATTAGTAAATTTATAATATTTATGCTCTTCAAAATTGTACTAAGCAGTTTTTTTGTAAATAAATATAATTATTAAGAACATCGGATTATAAATCTTACTGTTCTTTCTATTTATTTTTTTTATATATATATATATATATATATATATACATACATACACATATATATATATATATATATATATATATATATATATATATAGAGAGAGAGAGAGAGAGAGAGAGAGTTCATGATGAAAAAAGCACCTAAACTGATAAAACAATATTTGACTATTTCATTCCAATTTTTTAATACTTTTCTATCAGTTTTGAAATTTTGACTTAAATTCTTTATTTTCTGGCGTAAAAAGGAGTATCAAAGTTATGAATTTTTTAATAACTTCACAGCGTCTAAAAGTACATTGTTTTAGAAATTCTTACAAAAATCATATGATTGTCGAATTTTAATTTAATTTTCAAAAATTATCAAATTAATTAAATAATTTTTGAAATTACTTTTTAAAATCATTTTGGTAATTAGATTATTTTTTTCATACGTTACTCCCATTTAATTTCAGATTCCTCATAATGATATTCGTTAAAAGCCGGAATCATTGGAGAAATTAAATTAATTCCTGGAAGTATTTCTGTACTTTTGCTTTAACAAATGCATCACTGATGATCATCTAAGAAAGAGAAAGAAGTACTTGGGTGATAAATGTTATTCTTACTGTTACAGTGCAATTCTTGCATCATTTAATTTTAATAAACGTTAAAATATTCGTGAATATGAAAGGATTATGGGCAAAATATCAGATTGACGAATATTAGATTTATAAATGTGCAAGATTGATTCTCTTCAATAATTTTCTGCTGTATCCACTACCCAAGTAGGTATATATATATATATATATATATATATATATATATATATATATATATATATAAACAACATGCCTGGCCGCGTACAAAATTCCGTAAAATCCTTGTTGTAAACACAAGTATACTTAAACATAAAAACAAAGACATTAACTAAAAATTCTTGAAGCTATAAACATAAAACAGTTGAAACCTAACCTGAACAAAATATACTACGAAATCTCCAGAAATATTCTATGTCTATAATTGATAACAGAAGCCATTGCTTTAAACTTCCCATACTTAATACTTCTCGTTTTCACTCTTGCGTGATCATGTGTGATGTCAAGCGCTACGACGCGATTTTCGCTTCTGCTTCTCGTATACACGAGTTAGTCGTTACTTTGAAATTTTTCTTGCAATGAAAACAGACTATCATTATCGTGTATTGTTTGATATGTTGAAAAGTAATTGTCATTTTTGATAATGACTTATGTAAGCTGAAAGCTTAGATCGGATTTAAACATGTATCAATATGGTGATTTCCTTTCGTCTTTCAATGATAATGTTATTAAGATTATCAGACAATATGATAGTAACTTACTTAAAATAAATCGACAAAACTTGCCTATATCATTTAATGAAACAAGCACTAATTTATTTATATATATATATATATATATATATATATATATATATGTGTGTGTGTGTGTGTGTGTGTGTGTGTGTGAATATATATATATATATATATATATATATATATATGTGTGTGTGTGTGTGTATATATATATATATTTCAGGCATGTGAGATTGAATAATGTTACAAACGTTATGTCTGCTTTGTTTAAGAATAAACCTTTCATATTCGCGAATATTTTTTCCGTATATTACAATTAAATGACTCACAAAATGGAATGTATCAGTGAGAGAGACTTTTATTACCCAAGTGCTTTCCCCTTCTTTCTGAGATCATCATCAAGGGTGCAATTGCTGAGGCAAAAATTATGTGAGGCTATCTATTACTGAATTTTTAAATTTTATTTTACATTTAAATGCACTGGCTGACATTTATGTCAAGCGTTCACTAAAACTTGAATAGTTATCTATTATGGATTTTTCTTTTATCTTCCATGCCATGGTCGAGCGTACATTAGAACGCGAAATCTTTGTTTTTTTCATTTCATATACATTTTAGGAGATTATTACAGTATTCGAGCAGATTCTCACTGTTACAGTGCATTTCTCGACTCATTTAATTGTAATGTACGGAAATATATTAGTGAATAGGAAAGGATTATGACCAAAATAAGCAGATACAATTAGATTTAGATTATTCAACCAGACATAACATCAATCGAACATGTATCCTAGAGGGAATCGTCATATAACTTGACGTGCTATACTAGTTTAGCTACGGAGGAGGGTCTGGTTAGCAAAAACGATTTTACTGCTTTTCGAGCTAAATCATGGGAAATTTGTATTTGAAAGGCAGTAAAATCGACCTCGCTAATCAGAGGCTCCTTCGTAGATGAACTGGTATAGTACCTCAGGCTGTATGACGGTTTCGTGTAGGGTACAGGTTCGATTCCTACCTGAGGACGTATATTTACGATGTAAATGCTCAGACACTCATTCCGGTATATATTTATATATATGTAATAATAACTTTTGTTTTTTATTATTCCGACATTTTCATTAGTGTAAATGTTACTATAGTGGATGCTTTGTATGTGAAATAGACGCCATCTTCTCATTTATTAAATCGTGTATATTACGTGGATTAGTATAGAAAATGCCCCCCCCCCCACGAGGAACGCATTTTTCTCGAATGCGCCAACCGACATGCATAATACCTACTCTTTATTAAAAAAAATTGAGGCGTCTATTTCAAATATAAAATATTCATACTAATGAAAAGATAATATGTGAGGAATCTAAATGAAATAATAATAAAAAAACGAAAGAATATTAATCTACAACCCAGTGTTTCTGAAGATTTTAATTTTTTAATATTTTTTAATGTTCAAAAAAAAAAATATATATATATATATATATGTGTGTGTGTGTGTGTGTGTGAGAGAGAGAGAGAGAGAGAGAGAGAGAGAGAGAGAGAGAGAGGATGGGATGAAATTAGGAGCAGGAAGTAAAAACTTCATATCTAATGTCTTGCAATTTAATTAGCTCAATCATGAGTTTTTGAAAGTGGAATTATATGGATGTGTTTCGATTTTAAAAATCTATTTTGATCTTGCTTTTATTGATTAGGTAGACGTCACATGTTCCTTTAATGGTGTTTAATATATGCATATAACGCTTGTTGTATACATTAGGTGTTTACAACTTATCTCTGTACGTCTGTCTACTACTTGCAATGTTAGCGTCATTTAAGCGGGAATTAAAAATTGTGTATATCAGACTATTTTCAATTCTTGACAAATGTCACGAATATTGGTAGTGAATGTTTATTACTAGGCTACAAGCACTGTAAAATGTTGGCCCTTGCCTTTAATGAGTATATGTTTTACGAGTATTAATGTATTAAAATGTGTCGTCAGACACGCATTTTGTTATTTTCGGATTGCTTATTTTTATTCCTAGCTTGAAAAATTACTAAAATTTATGATGACGATTAATGCACATCGATCATTATTAAATATATGAAGGTTTCCCATAGTTGTTTATTTTTCTTTATGAGTACTGTTTCTTCAAGACTTGAGTGATCATAGCTCTCTGTAAATGCTATTCTTTGTAGCTCTGATAAAGTTTTGCATTCTCAATATATCACCCAGCTCCAGTCATCCATTTACGCAAAACTGTTAGGTAGGTTATTTCTGGTTTCGTTCTATCTTTATTTCAATATGCCCCGTGATTGTTAGATAATCCAAACCCATTTTCCACATTATGGTGATTTCCTAAACTTAGCTTAGATTAGGTACACGACCGATATTGCGGAGCACCCAATAAAAATGGAATTCGCTACTCAGATGTAATTGATCTCGTGAGTTACCCTCAGGACATAGAACGTCCAGACAATGACCAAGCGCAGTCAGTTTGATAATATTAACTAAGAGATGAGCATAATTAACATCAACATTCTAGATGCACGTGAAACCAGATGGCCAAACAAAGGTGATTTTTTCAGCTACAAGCACAGGATAACTTATGCATGCGGTAAGATTAACGACAAAGTAGTAGGACTAATACTAGATAGCGCACTTACGAAATGCGTTCTAGGGTGCCACCAACGTCCCGAAAGAATTCTGGTAGTGAAGCTGAAAAGGAAGCCTTTAAAATTGGCTATTATTGTAGTGTATGCAACGACGACACAAAGCAAGAAAGAGGACATCGAATCTTTCTACTTTGCACAGAGACAGGGTTCTATGCAAATCGCAGGAGGTCAGCATTATCATGGGAGACCTAAACGCCAAAGTAAACAGGGAAAGGGCAGGGGATATAGCAGGAAGATTCGGACTAGGAAAAATGGATCCAATGGTGCACAGCCAATTACCAGGTATTAGCTCACATATGGTTCCACGCACATCCGAGACGACTATGGACATGGAGGAGGCCAGGATGAGAAACTAAAAACTAAATTGATTATATAACCATCGAGAAAAGATTCAGGAACGCGATGATTCACTGCATGACCAACACAAGTGGCGACCACGGAAGTGATCATCGCCCTCTTATGTG